AGAGAGAGAGAGACCGGGGAAGCTGGACAGACCGCGCGGGGGGAGGAGGGGATATAATTTGATACGTTTACCATTTGGTTTTATTTTTGAGTAATTTCGAGTCGCTCTGGGCGTCTCAGCTGCGAAAGCCGCAGCACAAGCTTCCCGTAATTACAGGCCGTCCGACTCGCCTCTCCGTTCCTCCGCGCCGTGTGTCGTCCTCGTTGTTGTCGTGGTTTCCTCCTCCTCTTCTTCTCCTTCCTCCTCCTCCTCCTCCTCCTCCCGTTTCCCCGCCACACGGCAATGGACGAGTTAAGCGTGTCGCTCCGGGCGATGTCTAGGAAGTTCCTAGGGAACCGCTAACGACGAAGCGCCCATCCGCGATCCCGCCACGGGATCGATAGAGATCGCGGATCGATTACGCATCGCCCGCCTTCGTGAAGATCGCGATTTCGGATATAAGAATCTTCCAACGAAAATCTTCAATTTTTTAATGCTCGTTCGAGGATCTTGAAATGATAAAAAATATCAGAAGTTGATTCGTATTCGAGTTTCGTGGCTATTTGTTAATAATTTAATTTAATATTATTTTCACTCCGTTATAATTATTTATTATTTTCTCAATTTGATTCTTGTTCTTTCTAATTGTTTGTGTATTGAAGAAGATTTGATGAGGTCGAAATATTTACGAACGTCTTCCCTTTTACTCAGTGTGTTGGCTCTTTAACGTTTTTATATTACAACGAGCAATAATTTTTATTTGAGATGTAAAGATTACAATATGGCAACGGTCGTTGCCTGATACGATTAATAATTCCTTGTGCAATTTTCGAAAATTTCTGTTCGCCATCGCCGCAAGTTACAAAAGCGCGGGTGATTATTTATCACAGTCGCGCACTGTTTGCGCACTTTTCTCGCGTCGTTAAGCGTAATTCTAGCCGTCCTGCCAGCTGATTAATTATTGGTGAAACGCGATTGTTACCTCACAGTTGCGGATGGTCGCGGTATGCAACATATGTCGCGCATTCAAAATCGCGGCCGAGCACAGTCGCAGTAAGAGTCATCGCATTACTATTCATTACCCACATAAATAGCGATCACTTCACGCACGAGCGCGCCGCTAATGATCCTTTATTCCGTCGCTGTAATTAGCACCGACCGTGTACCTGCAGAGAACCGCCCGCTCGTGTAATTCAACGTAATTTACATTTATCTGGGCTCACCCTTTGTTGTGTAAAACAACAGAAAAACCTACGTTATATATTGCAAATGTAAGATTTAACAGATACATTGGTACACTGCACTCGAAAGATATTTTATAATAATAAAGCGACAATTATTTTTATTGCTAATGTACAATCAATAAGTGTTGCAGCTACTAAAGATGTAAAGAAGAGTGAAAAAGAATTACACGTATGAATATACGTAAACGGTGAGGCGTCAACAAGACTTATAATACAATGCTTACCAATGCTTACCAATGCACAGTGATGGACAGAATGGTTGCAACACTTTTTTATGTGTTTAGGAACGCGCGTTTAGATCAGGTTTATGCTTCAAAAATTTTTTACGAGGAAAATTTTACTCGAAAAATAGATCGGAAATGCTCAAAATTTCGGAACGGCCATGGAGTAAAATATTCCTCGCAGAAGAAGATTTCGGAATGTAACCCTGAGGCTAAATGCTCGTTCCTAAACTTATGAAAAAAAATGTGTCGCAACCGTTCTGTCCATCACTATACATATCTATATGTCTAATTAAAGTTAGATATTAATTTTTACATACAATTATTACAAGGAATATTATGTGTAGAGTATCTACGTATGACTATTACTCTATAAATATAAAAGAAAAAAAGTAAAGTACCCGTGATGCGTCTCTTCAAGCTCGTTCCCCGGGATTTACGTGGATTATGCGAATTACGCCGGATTAGGTGGAGGCGACTACGTTATCGCCTTGGAATAGTGCTGATTAACGCGTCTATGTGCACGCGAGGCGCTTTGATCCGGTCAAGCATCAACCTTCGCCGCGCGATTCGCATGAAGAATGCGCTCGCACGTGAAGGTGCGTTCTATTTAAGCGGTACATGCCCGTGTATGCAAGACGTATTCATTAAGGCATCTCGTCTCGCGATTCTTCTGCGATTCCGAGGAGTGACAACGAGAAATGAGCTGTTGAGCGAAACAACGATACACACTCGGAGAGACAGGCCGCTCGATTAATTTTCTTGAAAAACTTTCCATCTCTCCCTTCAGTCTCGGACAAAACGCGATAAGTGAAATGAATAATTCGACTGGAGTTTAATCGCCCTCTTGCACGAATCTTCTTAAAATGAGAAAGACGCGACTCAGGTATACGGGGTGTCCCGCGATGACCGAATCGGCCGTCAAATGTAGATAGAGCGAGGTAAACTGCATCGAAAAGTCCCATATCATTTTTCAAAATTCGTAGTAGTTTTTGAGTAATAAACGAACACATCTGGGCGAATGAGCACACGAGAAGCAGTAGGCTGGACTCGGCAGACGCGGTGAGCTCCACCTCCCACTATCGAACGCCTATCGTCGCTACGAGACTAAACAATAAGACATTTAACATGCCTGCCGAGTCCGGCCTACTGTTTCTCGTGCGCTCATTCGCCCAGACGTTTTTATTAATTACTCGAAAACTATTGTGAATTTTACAAAATGCTACAGGACTCTTTAATTCAGTTTGTCTCGCTCTATCTAAATTTTTCGGCGGATTCAGTCATCGCGGGACACCCTGTATATGTGAAGAGGTAGGCCTATAAAGCCATCCACGACAATTCTACGACCGGGATTATTTCGCGATGCAAACAGGATAGATGCCATTGGTCGGGCGGTCACTGTCCGGGCATACTCATTCATTACCTAAAGTCGCGGGTACTCGAGTATCGACAGCATTAAATGTAATGACTCATCGGTCGATTGCGATACTAGCGGTCGATGCGTTTAACCTACTTCTCGATTACTTTGTCAGCTCTAATGCCGCAATTGAGAATCCGCCGGCCGGCAAAAAAATATGGGAAACGTACAGATGGCTAGAGGATATAGCAGTCCCCGCGCTCTATCCAACTATTAACTTGTCAGTTTCAGCCGCGAAGATCCTAACGGATAAATTTTTCGCAATGCAAATGATACGATTCACCGTTGCGGCTGGTCGCGTGTACGTTATACCGGTTACTAGCTGTAACCTACTGCGCGTGACTTATTTAGATCACTTTGCACGCTGACGCTGTAATTTAGAAACCGCAATGAATAATAACACGGAAGGCGCATGCAAATGCTAATTGATGTCGGAGATCGTCACGGGGAAGGATGGAGAGACAAGTTCGAAATTTTGTTACGTTTATTTCGTATCATTATTATTATTATACTTTACTTCGCGGGGCTTTTTCCGAGAAGTCTCGGGCCTCGGGCTGAATTTCTGCGCATCGTCGCGTAAAGTTGTCACGCGCAAACGTGTACGCATATTCCGCACAAACGGTGCGTATCTCGTTAGACTTTCATCGATTTTCAGCGGACTTTCTAGCGATTCGATTCCCCGACTCCGTGTATCCCCGCGATATTTCTCGAAACGATCCCGAGGACCGATTGCCGGGAATCGGATTAACACTCCGTATAACACACAGTCGCGAAGTATAGTCACGCGCCGGAGGGAAACCGTGCGGGCGACGTGGCGATTTATCGTCCCGAGCTTTCCGCTAAAGCATCTCGGGTGACTTCCGGCAGACGTGGCTATCGGCCGATCGACATGGCTCTTTCGTGGTAGAATACTCAATTACCTGGCCCCGAGTTCCTGGCTCTGTGCACCTTCTCTACGCCTCCGCGAGTAAGTGTTCCCTCGCCTCCCGCTGGCACGCACGGTCCTACAATTGGTGAACGAATTCATGGCTCGCGTGTCAATTATTTATTTTCAAGGCGAGGCCTAGGAGGCGCGTACGGACGCTAGCCGGATGACGTCGTGGCGTTTAACAATTAATTAATCGTTAATAAATCGCGCAGTCTTCGTTCCCCCTGTTCGCACAATGCTAGCCGGCTAGCCGCCTGAAACTTTATGCGGGCAGCTCCTCGTGTAATTAAATTACCATTTTAATTTGTCGACGGTGAATTACGCCTTCTTACCAACGTCGATTCATATCGCTGATTCATTATTTAGATTCAACATTTGCCTTCCTTCGTAATGATATCTCATCAACTTCGCGGTAATCCCGCCTCTTCTCCCCTTCCCTTTTCTCCTTTACTGCATATTGTCGTCTCATCTTCTGCACTTGGGTGAAAACGATACCGCGGTGATAACCGAGTCTTGTTAAACTGATCTCAGATTAGATCTAAATGGCTCGAAACAAAATTGAAACTTACCCGACATTTACTGGTATTTCTAATTATGTGAAAATTGATCGTTGCAGGTCCCGATATACCCGGCTTCCTACTTCAACCCTTCAGGAAACCGAAGAGGATAAGGACAGCCTTCAGCCCAAGTCAACTTCTTAAACTGGAACACGCCTTTGAGAAAAATCACTACGTCGTCGGCGCAGAGAGAAAGCAGTTGGCGCAGGCGTTATCGCTGACCGAAACTCAGGTAAGTTCAGGAAAGTTCATGCCGCGGACCTTGACCTCATCAGACGAAAATCAAACCGTACGATCTTACGTAGCGTTTCAGTCTAACTTGACGTAATTTGTAATCCAGACGGGATTTCTATCGCTAACGAGCCAATTACAATGATAATTGCTATATTATTATTTGCCATTTGCATGATGCGGTAAGATATTCCAAGTAATATCGAATAATATGTCGTTAACGTCATTAAATATTTAATACAATTTAGAGGTGCGATTAACACATTCAACGGTTTGATTGCGAATGATAATTAGATTAAGATTATCTGATGCATAAGCGTTTTCTAGTTGCCGAGAGCGGTGCGCGATGCAAATGCTATACAGAATTAATAAAGCAATGTCAGTGGCGACTTGACATTAGCATTCTCGTGACGCGTTAAGCAAGATTGATATTTCTTACAAGGTTTGCGCCGTGAGAAGAATCGCTCGTAGATGCATTCGCGTGACGCGGCGATCCTCATTGTTTTCTCTGCTCGTTTCGCAGTCAGTAATAATCGTCTCATTTGCACTTTGCTCGCGCGTGATATACTCTTGATTCATAAAAAAGATATTACCATCGTAATGTAATACTTCTGACACTTTGCAAACGAGACGCGAGGAGAAACGAGATTTATATATTTTTTTCTTATATAAGTATATAGTTAAAATACAGATATATTAATTCATTTTCTTTACCTACATTAATTAATCGCCTCTCACTGAAATCCTTCCAACGACGAGAAGCGATAATTAATTACACAATTGTTATAGCCTACTCTGGGAAAAAAATGACAGTTGTAACCCATTTTGGGGCCCACCATTAGTAATCGAATTATTTGGATTGTTCGTTACTCTACTCTGGGAAAAATTTTGACCGTTTTTTGATGTAGTTAAGTAACTTAACATTTCGGTTATTGCCACTTAAGTGAAAATTATCTTTGCGTTACTGAAGATCGACAGAACTAATTGAGAGAATTGATTAGTATTACTTTAATATCTTGGATATAGATAGAACAGCTAATTGTGATTTTTAGTTACGCGGGATAAAATGCGTAAAAGATTAGAGTTACGAACAATCTAAATAATTCGATTACTAATTGTGGGCCCCAAAATGGGTTGTGACTGACTTTTTTTTTCCCAGAGTAGACATTTTGGTATTATCTTCTCGAAATAATCTCAGAGATTTGTCCTAATACACGTGGAACATTCTTTACACATAGGATATTTCACAATCAAACTAAATATTACAAAATAAGACGGTAGGTGCGGAATGTCAAAACCAACATTTCTCATCAAGTAAAGTAAATATCCCATTAGACACCGTTATGGAACTAACATCCGTTAAGGATTCTGTTGTCTATTGATAAATTGTACACCATAGGCTCGTCCCATAGCTCGTACTTTCATCTGGTTTAAATCTGTTGGTCATGCCAGCCTTATAGCTAGTTATCGATTATCGTGTAAAGCATCATTTAAAGATTATCGTGTGAAGCATCTGTCGAATAGAAAGGAGAAAGAGACTTTCTTACCACAAACCCGGGATCGCATGCAGGGCAAAAGGATTTTTTAAGAAATACAATTCTTGCTACGACGATGGCAGCTTTATGTTTGAACAATAGCTTTAAACATCTGTCATAATTCGTTAGTCAAAAGAGGCAAAAATACCGTAACGATGTGACCGAACATGGTTTACTTAAGGTAGTTTCGTAATGCTCAAAAATTTCTTCTAGACAGACAATGATATATCTTGATGCAATATTATTCTAAAGAATACACTCACGATTAATACATAATATAAAATAGATTCGAAAGATTGTACATAGTTTGAGGCGCTGTTGCCACATCTCTTACACTACACTCATATCTACTACAAAATTCTTCCCATTTTTCAGTTTTAACTGTTTACATTGTTGAAACGGAACGGTCAATAATTTTGATTTCTTTTCCAGTTGTTCGTTCTATTTTGCTTTATAGCATATTTGTTTCTCATAGGAATCTCGCTCACCGTTAAGCTTAAAGAAATAAAATGTGCCATCATTTGCGTTTGCAAACACAAATATTAATATTTTAATGCATAATAATATGTGTAAATAATATTTCACGTGTAATAATATTTGTAACTTTTTTTTAGAACTTTGAGACGGTTCATTTTAATTTAATTAGTCTTATTTTGCACGTATGAATGTGAAGAATAAACTAACAGGAAAAATCTTCAGGGTCGCCAGCAATAATTAACAACATCAAATTTTGTTGACCGTATCTGGCAATTTTTATGTTTAAGAATCGCTACGTTTCGACCATGGGTTTTAGTCCTCTTCAAGCGATCTGACTGAGAAAGTCATGTATGTACATACATGGATTCGCGTGTATTTTGGTGATGTAGAAAAGATTGTCGTTATATTCAATGCTCCGTCATCTCGCTAGCAATGTTCTCGGGCAGCAAACTTCGACACAAAATTTTTATAGCATTATGTGAATATAACGACAATCTTTTCTACATCACCAAAATACACGCGAATCCATGTACGTGACTTTCTCAGTCAGATCGCTTGAAAAGGACCAAAACCCATGGTCGAAACGTAGCGTTTCTTAAACATAAAAATTGCCAGATACGGTCAACCTTTGATGTTGTAAAGAACAAACTGTAAACATTTGAAACAATTCTCACATAAATGATTTTACTAGATAACTACCTTAAACAAATATTTGTTTAATGCCCTGCATATCGTCTCGATTCTGACATTTTCTAACATTTACCCGAAAATTAATAAAACTCATAAGGCTCTCACGTGATAAACACAAATTCGAAGAAATAAAGACTAAAGATAGCCGTGACACAGGATGTTAGGGTCTAAATAATTCTTATTTTAAAACATGTGAAACACTCTTAGATCCCACTTGACAAGAACCTAAACCAAAGGTCGAAACGTTGTAAAAGCGTATTTAATAAATGTGGCTAGCTGAGATCGATTGAAATTTGAAATTTTACTATTAATACTGGCAATCTGAAGAAACATACTTGTTCTTATTTTAAAGTTATTGCGAAAAATATGACCTCAGTCAAGGTTTGAACCTCCCTCTCACTAGGCAGGCGCCTCACCAATTCGACCACCGAGGCACGCAGTAATATTCGTCCCAATAAACAGTCTAACGTTGATTCCCGAATGCCACATATCGTGACAGTGTTCGAAACGAGAACTCCGCGCCTACTTAGATCGTCAGTGTTAAAACACAGTAGAATCGTGCATTATTATTACGTATCTGAAATCATATCTCATTCCGTATACGTGTGATTATTTTAGTTTATAGATAAAAAAGGCGGAAAGATCCCAAATTATATTGATGATCTTGTCTGCAAGGTTTATGCACAAAAAGTCCATTATCCATTAACGTATATGTCAGCCAGTATCATATTTCAACATTAATGCAGTGGTAGTAGTATAATACGGCAGTCGTATAATGCGCAATAGATTAATGCAATCCGTCGACGATATTTATTAGCAGTATTGATATTTATTATCGTCGGACGTAAGGATTACATTAATCTCTCGTTAATGTCGCTGTGGTGTCACTTTCCACTCTCTTAAATACTAAATTCGGTCCCTTGTCTATGATCAGCACGCAATTTAGAATCCGAGTGTCGCGTCGCGTGGCGGACGGGGCCAGTCTAAAATTTCCAATTGACTAGAATTCGCGCGTCAAATAGGACTGCTTTTCACATCTGTAGCTACCTATAGTCCGGGATATCAAGTGGAGCCCGCGATTGAAGGTAACAATGGCTATGTACTCGCGCGCGAAACGTTAATGGCGCAGATCGAGAGCGGGAGAGAAAGAGGATGGGGGGGGGGGGGGCGCGAACGAGAGAGAAAGACCGATGGGGTCGTATAACGAGGGGATTGATATGCTAATCCGTGACCGAGGGGTGGCCGTGTGTCTTTCGGTGGTGCCCGATACCGTTACGCGTTCACGCACGCACGCACTCACGTACACGTATGTACGAGCGAAGGCAAACGTAGGATCGGGCATGGCGCGCTCCAGATGCGTCGTACGTAGGTACGTACATCACGTGCCGCGTTACGTATTCCATGGGCGTAACGCGCACCAAAAAAGGGCAAGATGGCAAGGGTCGGCACGACGATATCGGGAATTAAGCCGAGAGACGGAGACAGAGAGAAAGAGAAAACGGGAAACCACCGAGCGCGGACGCCATCTTGGATCCGGCCGTCGGCGGGATGTTCCAAACAGGCTTCTGCCTCGCGTTCTCCTCTTCGTCCTTTCCCGCTCGTCGTCGTTGTCGTCGTCGTATACCTCCTCCTCCTCCTCCTCCCGCTCCTCCTCCACCTCCTCCGTCTTCTCCTTGGATCGCATTGCGTCTACATCTCGCGTAGAAAATATACAGCCGTACAGCCAGACGACATTTCTTTTCTTACCGCGTGCTCTCGCGCGCTTTGTTGCTGCCGAGAAATTCGAGTGACGAGTGGACAGACTTATGGCGGAAGAGTTTCTTAAATTTATTCCTCCTTTATTTGCTGTTATTAAGAGACGCACGATTTCACGAACTTTTCTTCGTAAAACAATAATAACAATAATTACAGTCTATTGTGTACATTAAAAATATCGAAGGCACTTCTAAATAAGAAATTTTAATAAAATGTTTCGCGCCTTTTGCCATAGTTAGGATCAATGTTGTTCAAATATTCGCGGAAAAGCAGGTACAATGTAGAGAAGGTGTATAGATAAATGACGCGGCTGCTATTGTATCGTAAAGAAAACTCGTGGCCACTTGGTGATGCAAATCGTCTTTTGCATCATGAATAAGATAAGCCGAACTACATGGAAAATTTATTCGACTGCTGTCGTACTGTTGTTTCCCTTAAAAAAAAAAGAAAAAAGAAAGAAATGAGGCCAACTCGCGATCGCGTCTACTACCAACAATTTTACCGTAAACGTTCATCTTTCCGCATAAACGTTTATTACACGCAC